CTTTTGCAACTCCTTTTTTCACAAAAGACAACTAACGATGCATTGTAATCTTGCAGTTGTCTGTCAAGTTCACAGTCACTCCAAATGAAGACATTGTCGAAAGTGACTACTCATGGGACAAGGAAATTGCAGACCCAAGAGTTGACATGATTTTGGAGTTAATACAAAGGAACCACCTGTGGAAACCTTCTGATTGGTCGGTTCTAGATACATCTCCAAGCTGTGGAGATGCAACAATGCCTGTTCTACAAGGTCAGACCACGAACACCACCCAAAGAGAGAACGTACTACCTCGGGCCTAGCAAAACCGTAAACCACCAGTAAAAAAATCCCAAGCAGTAAAGGTGAATCGCAGAAGGGTTCCAACTAGAAGTCAAGCCTGTACCGAAGATATTGATGATGTTGAAGACTTAACTTTGGATGGAATTAATGGTTTGAAAGAATTTATCCTCCAGCAGAATGGACTTCTTTTTTAGCGCTTCATGGGCGAGCTAAACAAACGCTTTCCAACTGACAAATCCCCAGATGTTGATCTACCTCCTACCAACCCATCAAATCTTAAACGGTTGGGGAGATTGAAATCCAAACCTCAGGATGCTGATTTGTCTAAAAAGAAACCAACCTAACGGAATATAATATCTCCGTCTATGTCTAAAGGGAACAAACACAAACGGCCTTCATTATCGTCCATCAACCTCCCCACTGCTAGTGACAGCGATTCACCAGTAGCTGCAGAAGCCGAACCTCTAGATGACTCTCATATTATCTTTGAGACGTCGGATAAGGTTGATCGATGGGCTAAATATGTTGGTGTTCAAAAAATAACTAAAGAGATTTCTAACACAAAAGCCGGTACATCATCTCTGGTAATTATTTCGAAATCTTTATTTTAATTTTTGTACACTTCTCCACTAGTCCTAGGATTTACCGACTGTGTAGCGACTTGGTGTACACCTTATTTTGTTTCTGTTGTGGGGTTTATACTTGGTTGTTTACACTGCTGGTGAACATTGTTTGTGTACTGCAGTTCTGTACACCTTTGGTGTACGGATGGTGTACAGGCTGGTGTACAACCTGGTGTACGGGCTACGGGCTGGTGGCCATTCCTTGTTTTAATTTCATAATGTATTTACATTGTTTGTATTGCTCACTAATTTTTCAGGGGAACTATAATCTTGAAGGAGAATTTCAAAGTCCTGTAAGTATTTCAATTATAGTCATCTATTTTATTATTATAATACATGTACAAGTAACTACACCTTATTGCAATCTTTTTTTTGTTGCACACAAGGTTCAGCTAACAAATTTCCTACTACACCAACGTTCTCTACCCCTGGGTTCACAACATCTTTTACTGCGGCACCTATAATCTCATAGATTTACTCCTCTGATGAAGAGGTTATTATCATTCTTTTTTAGCCATCCCTTAAATGTGTTTTTATCCTTTTTCTCTCTATTACTGATTTCTTTTTACAAGTTAGGAAATCAATGAGATGTCAACCATTGTCCTTGCCACTCCAATGTGTACTCCACCGGGAGCCACAAGGTTTGATATTCTTCAGAACGATCCTAAACGTCTCGCTACATAACGGATGATCAGCTCACTGGAGATGCTTGGATTAAAGCTCTTTTTGCTAACCGCAGAAAGTCACCATCATACAATCCTCTTTCGGTCCTTCTTCCATCTGAATTTGCTTCTTTCGTAGCCATACTTGATGAAAACAAAGACGAGTAAGTTGCTACTCTAATTACTCTTTTGTTTTACGATTTATCATTTCTTATACTTCCTCATTGCATCTTCCAATAATTACAGGCAGTTCACTATTGTCACTGGCCACACTATTTCTAATGCACACTTCCTCGACATGGCAAAAAGTGAAACTTAGCCTTGAAATCCAGGTCTCCTGTTTCTTCCTCACACTTTGTCTAAACATTAATTCTTCTTTTTTTTAAATTTTTAATTTAACTTCTGTCTATTCTGCTAACAGCATATGCAAGTTATTATGTCAATGCTTTGGAGGCGTAGAGCTGCGATTTATGCTCAGGACAGAGTTGTATTAATTGACCCATGGTTCACAACCTTGATCTCTTCTACCTATAATGATTTCAAAGGTTATCCTGACCCAGCCACATTCTCTTGGGGTATTAACGTAAAGGTGTTTGTCTCTGATAACTCCACTGGTAAGCAGTTCAAGACGGAGTTCCTGAAGAATGTTGATGTAGTATATATATCCCTATGTTTTTGGCAAATTCCCACTGGGTGGGTCTTGTCATTAATCTCTCTTTGAACAACATTGATATTATAGATCCCCTTCCTCATTGTTTGACTGATGAAGATGTTGTACGCGGAGTTCTTCCCATTGCAGTGTCTATGTCATGGCTTTTTAAGCGTTTCATTGCTCCCAAGCTTAAACATAACATATCCACCTCTCCATTTACGTGGCAACGCATTGAAGGAGTTACCAACTGTCTAACCAACGCAGATTCTGGTCCCGTAGTAGCAAAACTATTGGAGATTCATGCATATGGTCAGTCTGTTCAAGAGATGTCCTAGCTTACTGTTTCTATGGTCGAGGACATAAGGAAGCTCTTTGTAATGGATGCATATGAAGAGTTTGTTGGGCGTGTTCCTGCTTCTTCTAACATCTCTCCCAACGTTACTTCGCTAAGCACTCCACCCAACACACTGCATTGACCCCTACCTTCCTAGCCT